GGAAGCACTATATGAAGCCGTGCCGTGTGTCTTATTGGGTCTGAGCCTTTGTGTAGGATATGTGCGTCAGCACATTTAGTAAAAGGCACTGGAGGGAAGAGCAAAATATGACAATAATGAGCAAACAATGTAGGCCTATTTAAAAGCAAAAATGAGCATTCAAGAGCTTTTACAGTCCCATTCATATTAGTTTAAAGATGCATTCAGTAGTTCTTTGGATTGCTGTTGTTCGTTTACTTTAAGTACAGATACCACAACGGTGTTAGACGCTGCACTGCCATCTATGACTGATCTGCATGATCGTCTTTTATGTAAATTAAACTGACACTATGAGAGGTTAATTTTTTGTCTTTTTCAGCCTTTCTGTCTTCTGTCTTTCTTATCATTTTCACGTCCTGCGCCACGGTGTTTAAATAGCAAATGCATTTGCGGCCATTTGTGCGCCCATGGGCATGCTGGTCTGAAAACGAGGTGTGTTCAGGCGCATTGTTGGCGTGTGGCTATTTTGAGGCAACTGAAATAGACTGTGCCATTGACAAACTGAAACCTGGTCTAAAGTCAATGGCGCAATATACTTTTTTTTTGCTATTTAAAGAGAGCATGTCCACAACGCACGTACACTTTGTCAGGTATATGGTCTTAACCTCGCGCATAAGCAGATCCATTTACTCGCCAGAGAAGCGTTCAGTTTTTCCGCTTGCAAATTCCGCCATGTAAATAGCGAATCCGCCATGGTGCAAGTACAACTGGCTTTTAAAGGGAATGGGAGATGAGACTCTGATCTATTGCACGTTATGCCCAAACCACACCCATTACTCATTAAGAGAATAGGGACAACCCTTTTAGACCATGCGCCGGGCGAGCCGACCTTTTTTCCCGTCGTTCAACTAGCAAAAGTGGATTCGGACATGCCCTAAGTGCACTTGCGCTGTGCGCTTTAGACCATTCGCTTAGATCGTTAAAATAGGGCCCAAAAAGTGTGTCTAATTTCTAATTGTCAATTTTTTTTTTCTTTAAATCACCAACCTACAATACACTACTAGCGTATCTACAGAGGAAGCAGCTAATGAGCGTGAAGATTCTCTCCACATGATGAAACACATTGACGGGGGTGACCCACACATACATACTCTTTACAAAAACACAATTTATTTCTTGTGTATGTGTGTAAAACATTTTAAATTTGCACCAAACTATGCATCTTTAACTAAAAAGGACAGACTATGAATGTTATAACTATTAAATATGAATTTAGAGTAAGATAAAGATGAATATCGAAAAAACGTGAATGGTCAAATTCGAAATAATGAAATTCTGAATTAAATACTTTATTCAGGTTTTACTGAAAGAGTTAAAATAACAAAACAAATACTTCATAGCTGGAAAATCTGGCCATTTTCAAACATACGCATGAGAAAAGTAAAGCGGACAAAAAAAAATGTTTTGTTATATGCACACAGGCATGCATCAAATATGGCTTCACTGTTCATTACATTTTTCATCATTACAATCTACACCAGGTCTGTGTTACAGAGTCAAGCAGACAGACGGCAAACAGACTGACATGCCGTATTGGCTCTCTCAGAGACGGATTTAGTGTCCCAGTCTGAGAATCGGTCGGGACAAGGAGAAGGCCGTGGATTTGTGTTGTCTTGGCTTGGTTGTTAGGTAATCTGTCTGATCATTAATCAGTTCATATTCATTTTGTAACATGGTTTAAATAAATGAGACTGAGAGGAAGAGTGTAAGAGAAAAACAAGAAAGCTTATGCAAAGCTCATATCCTTAAACAGACTAGACAATCTATTCACAAATGCAGCACGACCTTTGACATTTGACCCAAGCTGTCTGCCACACTGGTCTTACCCTCCAACGCCAGGAAGGACCTTTATTAGACCTTGTGTACCGTTAGCCTGCTGTGCTGTTTCTATTCTATTAAGTTTGCATAAATATACCCTTGAAAGGAGATAATCTAATCAACACTGCACTTTAAAGTGTTTCTAAAGACATGAAATTAAGTTAGAGGGATTCCCAAGATTCCCCTTCTCAGATAGCTAAACAATAACATTGGCAAAATACAATGTTCAAGAAAATAGGATCAGATAAATCGTGCACCTTGTGTTACAGAAAACATTTGGTATATTTATGGGGGACTATGCAAAAGGTTCAAGAATTTGCAAAATGCAGGACACAAACCCTTCACACAGAGTTAAATTGTTATCCCACGCAATTAATACAGCTCTCACCAGTGTGCTTACGTTAGCTATGACATTTAACACAAAAAAACCATTGCCGCTCTGTTAGGAATGCAGCAGAAACCGTCTGTGAGGTTTTCTGCTGATGCACAGAAGCCCATAACGCTGTAGGAGTGAGCTGTGAGAAGAATGCAAAAGTCATGACCATGTGTAGGTGGAAGAGAAATATCTGAAACCAACGCGCAAGATCCACCTTATTAAACCTGTCTACTTATATATTCCTTTATTTATTACTGCTGTTCCTCCATGTTTCCTTATCCATTCCATTTCATGTTTCAAACTACTGCTCTGACGTTTGTTTTGAGACTCCTTTTCTACTAACGCCAAGAAGCCAGCATGAATCTGCTCATTCCATGTCACCAAACAACCAGCCCTGAACGTTTAAATAGAAATCCTGAATTCTACAAATTGCTCGCCATTGTATAAAGCATGTTTCCAAAACAGGAGATTTTGATTCAGTCACGCTTCACAACATCACATTTAACGTGTGAAACGGTGACCATTGTGTTTGAGCTCCTAATCATTTTCATGTGAGTAGAATTAGAAACACCACTATTCGAGGGTACCCATATGAGCCAAGGATTTACTCAGGCAAAGAGGTCATGCACATGGACTGCACTAGAGTATAACACATTTTGATTATCACAGGAGTAAAGATAAGTATTATGATCATGGCTACCCATATCACTATGTCCACAGTAGCTACAAAAACATAAGAGACTAGACAGATAAAAAATGTTCTATCTGCAGGTCTCACCGTATGATATATTTCATACAACAGTTCTCTAATTTAAAGGGTTAGTTCACCCAAAAATGAAAATTATCCCATCATTTACTCACCCTAAAGCCATCCTGGGTGTATATGACTTTCTTCTTTCAGACAAACACAATCTGAGTTATATTAAAATCCTGGCTCTTCCCAGCTTTATAATGGGAGGGAATAGTAACTGAGATTTTGAAGCCCAAAAAGGCAAATCCATTCATCATAAAAGTAATCCATACGGCTCCAGGGGGTTTATAAAGGCCTTCTAAAGCGAAGTGATGTGTTTTTGTAAGAAAAATATCAATAATTATAACTTTATAAACTGTATTGACTAGCTTCCAGTAACATCCATCCACGGGTTCACGAGAGAGTTGAGTTCCGGCGTATGGCGTAGGACTTAGACGTAGCGTAAATAAGCTTAGGTGAGAATAGACGCCTCTCGCTGTTCAAACAAATAGGGCTGGGCAACAAACTCAAGCTCGTCCGACACATGTCTTTAAAAATGATTGGTTTAGACTTCTAATTCGTGACCGTTGTTTTTTGCTCTCTGCACTTCCGTGTTCGTCAATATGTCATGCGTGGGGTCAGAGTTCACTCTTCGGCCTGAATTTGACTCGCGTACGGCCGTTATTTTTATGATAGATGGATGCGCTTTTTTGGGCTTCAAAATCCTACTATTCACTCTTATTATAAAGCTTGGAAGGATATTGGGCAGAATATTTTTTAATATAACTCCGATAGTGTTTGGCTGAAAGAAGTAAGTCACATACAAGATGGCTTGAGGGGAAGTAATTTATGGGATAGTTTTAATTTTTGGGTGAACTAACCCTTTAATGGATCAAATGAAGTTTCTGATATTTAGTATAACATCACTCGGCTTGCCTGTGTGGCATTCCCAAAATGTTGTGATGTGTGGATATTCAATACAACAACCCAATTGCAAGTGTAAATATTTTTTTACATAAGACACTAAAATCACATTAAAATGTCAGAAATAACGGTAACTGTAGACAGAATATACTTGATGAAAAAAAGTTCACTAAAGCAGACTTGCACAGTGTGACAGAGTTTAGTGTCATTTGTAGTGTGTCGGTTAATGGACTTTCTGTTCAAAGAGTGCTCAGGTGAGGAGGGGAGATGAGTTGGGTGCTTTAGTGTTTTCAAGTAGCTAAATCTTCCTTTCCTCAGAGTGGCATTTCACATAATTTCAGCACCAGCATGCTTATGGAAAGCCCCAAATCACTGTCTAGTAGGCTACCTATGCATTATGCAGTCTGCCCAAAACTGTCAACTGCTGTTTCATGCTAGCCTACATTTAAATGTGCAGGTCTGACTGCATCTGCTGAATGAGAGAGTATTGCAAAATAAAGTTAAACAAGCGAGTGAAAACATCATTCACTTTTACAAATTCAGAAAAAAACAATGTTGGAGGGAAGATCTGTCCCCAGGAATGATTTGTCTCACACAAAAACATATTTATACATGTATTTCTCCCTTGAAAATGGGCTTTATGACATTTTCTAGCCTAGGCTATATACATTTTATCTATCTATCAATCAATCAATGAATCAATACGTCAATCATTAGGACTCGTGAAGCACAGAGCCACTAAAGATGCATAAAGCTTACGATTACACATAAACACGCACACGACACAAATAATGCTGAATCGACAACTGCCACAAATTAAAATATACCACTGATGTGTTTTATTTCCATGGTTATTTTTTTTCCATAGCTTCCATGTGCGCGCGCGCACAGGTTGTCACCTGCCTCCCGCCTATTACGTTCACACGACTTTTCGTTGCTTTGGAAAATGCAAAAGCTAACACACACCAAAAGTGTCAAATAACACTTTAACTGTTTGAGTTTTAAACCAGCCTTTTATGTGAGTACTTCTTTGCGTTTCAAACATTTCAAAGAGAGATGTGATGTCATTCTAATAGCTATTATTATTTCCTGCATCAATGGAACTGAACTCACCTCCATGGCTGTTGATAGTGGCGCTCCAGGATGAGATCGTGTAACACAGCAACACAGTTAAAGCAAACAGACCAGTAACTGACTTCATGTTCCAACAACAGGAACCGCTCTTCTACTAGTTCGGAGACAGTCCTCTATTTCGAGTCTCAGCTCCAGGTCATTATAACGAGAAAGATTGTAGATTTGGCTACGCAGTTTAAATTGATTAAATAGTTAATATGTAAAATATGGATGCTATATTTACTTAACTAATTTTAAGTAAGCACATTCTTGCTGTCCGCAACAGAACAGAAATTCAAAACGTCCACGATGCTCTTTTTCTTTGAGTCTCGAAATAATCACTGCACAATTCAGCGCATCGCACAATATGAGTAGAAACCAAATCCGCTTGCTTCCGAGAAAATGTTTAACTTTCCCGAAGTTTAATCCGATGTGAAATACATTCGCTGTCAGAAGCTTGAAGCGCGTGAAGCCTGGCGTTCAAATCCTCCAGCACTGGCTTGAACACAAATTCAATTGTCCCGTATGACCACCGGATATTCCCGTCCGAGTAAATGATATCTGAATATGTCCAATGTGGGATTCCAAAATCATATACAACATAGAGCTAAATGTACCCGCCTGAGAAACAAAACTATAAGCGTGAATTCGCTTTCTAGCCGTCTGAGTAATCTCTAATAGGCAACACAGGCTTCAGTCAAGTCCTCTCCGTGTCCCGCCCCATTGTCTACGTCACAACAGGTAAAGCGTCTCGAGTTCAAAGGAAGCGCAAGGAATTTGTTGAAATACTTGGGAAACGAATATTGAATGTAGGCTGATGCCCTCAGCAGTCTGTTAGCCTGTACCAAATGATGAAATCCTCAGATTTCAAACAGAAACCAATACAATTATTTTTTAAATGTGTAGGCTATTTAATGGGCAGCATGAAAATGCAATTCAATGTTCTTATAGCCGATTGAGAAAAAGAAAAAGAAAAAAAGAAGTGATATAGCTATTTCATGCATTCGTTCTTTATAAAATTGATTCACTTAAAATAAAATGTGTGCAGGAATCGGACTACAAAATGGAACTGGTTCTATAGGCTAAGCCATGAAAATATAAATCTCTATAGCCTAAACTCAGTAAGTAATTCTTATAATTAGATAATTAATTTAATCCGTTTCTATTCATTATATATTAAAATAATTGAAATTGAAAATTAAACCATAAAAAATGTCCCACTCCCATGATAGCCTAAATGGCACGAGGAGCTGTCATATTTCTATTAGGCTATTTATGATTAATGCAAGTTGCGACGGGAACGTGCAGAAGGGCATAGACCCAGCTAACAAAATTATGTTCTAAGAACGTTGTGGGAACGTTGGTTTGAAATGTTCTAAAAACGTTGAAATGTCCAGTTTGCTTAACGTTGCTGGAACGGTATCTTAATGTTAGCAAAACGTTGCTGGAACGTTAGCATAATGTTGCTGGAACGTTATCTTAAGGTTAGCCTAACATTGCTGGAACAGTATCTTAATGTTAGCAAAACGTTGCTGGAACGTTAGCATGATGTTGCTGGAACGTTATCTTAAGGTTAACATAACGTTGCCGGAACGTTAGCATAACGTTGTTGGAACGTTAGCATAACATTGCTGGAACATTATTTTCAAGTTTGCATAACGTTGCTGGAACGTTAGCACAACATTGCTGAAACATTCTTAAGGTTAGCATAACGTTGCTGGAACAGTATCTTAATGTTGGCAAAACGTTGTTGGAACGTTATCTTAAGGTTAGCATAACGTTGCTGGAACATTATTTTAAAGTTTGCATAACGTTGCTGGAACGTTAGCAAGCACAACATTGCTGAAACATTCTTAAGGTTAGCATAACGTTCATGGAACAGTATCTTAATGTTAGCAAAACGTTGTTGGAACGTTATCTTAAGGTTAGCAAAACGTTCATGGAACAGTATCTTAAGGTTAGCAAAACGTTGTTGGAACGTTATCTTAAGGTTAGTATAACGTTCATGGAACAGTATCTTAAGGTTAGCAAAACGTTGTTGGAACGTTATCTTAAGATTAGCAAAACGTTCATGGAACGTTATCTTAAGGTTAGCATAACGTTCATGGAACATTATCTTAACATTGCTGGAACATTGACATAACGTTGCTGGAACATTATCTTAAGGTAAGCATAACGTTCCTGCAGCGTTCTTTCCCCAAAAATGTTATTAACAATACAACAATCAAAGAACATTAAAATGTCCACTTTCTTTCATGTTAAAATTACATTTTAAGGTTAGAAAAAAAATTCTGCACCATTCGTTCAACTTAATTTTTTTTTATTAACACAACCATGTGAATTATAAGCACACACTTTTACAGCACATCAAAAAGTAGAACATTTCATGATTATCATACATTTTAAACGCTACATTATAGCTTAAAAAAACAACAACAAATATTTTCATATAAACATTTAAATGAAATGAAAACCGTTTTTAAGGGTTAGTTCACCCAAAAATTCTGTCAGTAATTACTCACCCTCATGTTATTCCAACCCCGTAAGACTTTCGTTCATCTTCAGAACACAAATTAAGATATTTTTGATGAAATCTGAAAGCTGGCTCACTCCTCCGTAGGCTTCTAGGCAATTTCATTCTGGCGAATTTATCAAGCAACGACAATCATTTTTGTGCACAAAAAAAAATAAATAAATAACAACATTATTCAACTATTCATTTTCTTCCGTATGGGCCTCTGAGTGACTTCACTAGTGCTGGGAGAAAAAAATAGATTCACCTAGGTATAGGGCTGGGTACCGAGTTCGGTACTTTTTAGGTACCGACCGAATTGCCTCGATACTACCGAGTATCGAAACATGTCTTGTTTTTCGGTACCACATTTCGGTACCTAAGTGGTTAATCTCGTCAATGTCAGTGAAACAATAAGCATGCAGCATGATTGGCTGTGGCGGAAAAACACTAGTTTACGCGGCTGCCCAGAGACGCGGCTCGTCGCACGTGAGGCTGCAGTGTGTGTGTGTGTGTGTGTGTAAGCGTGCGTCCCAACCCAGATAGATAGATGTGGAAATGATCCAAAGTGTACCTATGTCATGTGCCAGACTCGATGCCAGATGCACGCGATGCAATATTTTCGACAAGATCATTGCTGCCAAGACCGCAAAACACGGTAAATCTAGGCACTGAAGCGCACAAAATACACTTGAGAGTAATGGTGTTCACATCGAACGCGAATAGAGCGTCAAATACGCGTCTATCGCGTCTAGTTCGACGCTTGAATCTTCAGCTCGAGTTCAAATTTTTCAACTTGCGCGGAAGACGTTCGCGGCAAACGCGTCACCCAATTCGCGTCATTCGCGACGCCCGGCGCGAATGATGCGTCTATTCGCGTCTTTGCATTGACTATGTATGTAATCTACTCGCACAAATAATTAAATTCGCGTTCGGTGTGAACACACCATTAGTAAACACTTGTTCATTAATAAATAATTAAAATATCTCCTTGCTATTGTTTCCACATCCATAATCATTAGGCTACTTTTGCCAGTGCTTTGCTGCAAGCTTCACGTGCAGGTATATATCCCGCCCCCCAGTAGCCTATATTTAATTTAATTCACATTTATTTGTATAGCATTTTTCACAATACATATCGTTTCAAAGCAGCTTTACAGAAAATGCATGTCTAAATTACAATTTAGAGTGATCTGTTATCAGAGGTGACAGTGTAATGCATTTCAATTAATTTTCATTCAGTTTCATCGTTAATTAATGCATTAAGTTTAAGCAGAAACAATGAGCTCATTGAAGTAAAGAATACATGTTGTTAAATGATTAGGAAACATAGAAAACTTTAGCATTGGTGCTTTTTTACATACTCAAAATATGAGTGTAAAAAAGTCAACAAACTGAAAAAAAAATTAGGTAATGTTATATTGTTAAACCTGGTTACATAAAATTGGTATCGAAAAAAGTATCGTTCAGGAACCGGTATCGAAGTCAAGGTATCGGTATCGGTACCGAACATTTTGTAACGATACCCAGCCCTACCTAGGTATCACGTTTTTTTTTTTTTATTATTTTTTTTTTATTATTATTATTAAAGAATCGATATTAATTCAAATTAAATTTATTTTTGTCCTTGCTTATAGACGAGGTTGACCAAAGTAAGTCACTTCCGTTCCAACAGAGAATGAAATGTGTCGTTATCTTTGAGTAACGTAATATCCCTTTCAAGAGGACGCGTGAAAGCGACGTGAGATTGAATGCATTGAAAAGCCCTTGCGCTACTCATATACAGAGAGATAAGACAATAGAGCTGCACGATTCATCTTTAAAAAACTTGATCTCGATTCAAACACCCACGCGATTTGTTTCCATTTCGTCTGTCTATTAAACCTTTGACAAAATCATATCGCAACTTTTAAAGCTGTGCTGACCCAGAGACGTCATGAAACAGCTTCACAAACTGTCTTTTCAACCTAATAGTATCATTATTTCTGTAATACAATAGTTCAAATTATCATAGAAGTTATGGATATGGCCAAAAAAAATTATCACAAACGATATTTTTTTTTATATCAGTCGATATCGATAATTATCACGATAAATGTCAAATCTTTATTTCTTTCAAGTTTAAAGGCAGATTTTTGCTCCTAAGTGAAAGTTGTATAAACCAGAGCGTTGTGGTTTTAAAAATCTGAGGTAGAACATTCAAACATTTGTCATTTTTCCTTAACAAAATAAATATCTGAAAAGAAAAATATTTCTTCAGCAGTTTGCAGTGCAGGCTGCAATATTCAAATTACATGTTTTGTCTCGAAATGCATATTTGACAGTGAGTTGACAGTAGGGGTGGGAATCTCTAGGCACCTCACGATTCGATTCGATTACGATTCAGAGGGCTGCGATTCGATGCTAAATCGATTATCAGAATCTTTTTTTTGTGTGTGTGTGACTATAAATACTTTGCTTTAAAAGTACAAAGTAATGACCCATAAAGAATTAACGTACAATATATTTTATTAACATTGCAAAGAACCAACAGGAAAATACATGTGTGTCTGAACTAGCAGCAGCATATTTGTAGTAAATTAATAATATAACAACGACCGGTAACGTTACAGCCGAGTGTTTTTCCTCCTCTGGCTGGAAACGTGTCATATGGCTTCTCATATGTGTCTTGTTTCCGAAATATTTTAGTTTTACTCTACAAAGCTTACAACTAGTGTGGCTCTTGTCCAGCTCCTTTCCCCCTTCAACTTCAGAAGCCAAAATATTTCCACACGTCAGCTTTTAACGAGGAGGGTGTTTGGATTTGGCGCTCAGCCATCGCGTCCGCGTCTGTTATGTGCACGCCACAGACGGTCCGGCCACTGCACTTCCGCGCTTCAGAGTTCCGTCTTTCGCGTTCCGTCAATATTACGTTATTATAAATATATATCTAAATTTTTTTTTTTTTTTTTTGAAAATCGATTTTTGACAATTGTGAATCGATTCAGAATCGTCCACATCCGCATCGCGATGCATCTAAGAATCGATTTTTTCCCCCACCCCTAGTTGACAGTAAATCTACATCCTAACTCAAGCTAATACGACTATGTTAAATTTATGTTCATTAACAAAAACAGTAACATGTTTGTTTGTTTGTTTTTTATTTAAGGACCACATTTTTATTTGGTAAAATGTAATATTCTGACTGTTTGAGTTTTATTAA